AATAACGATAATGAAGCTCAAAGAGATGACACCAGGGGGCTTGCGAATAACAACGTTTCTTGTGTTAAAAACAAGAAAAGAGGAGAAGGAACTGACAAAGTATGTAATCTCTCTCTCTAGCGGTTGTTTAAGTGAGTGTATTGTTAAATATCTTCACAACACGCACGTCACAAAGACATTCCATCTTCATTTGCCTTTGTACATTGCCAAGTACTTTTTTTTTAACACGCACGTCACAAAGAACAAAGACATTCCATCTTCACTTGCCTTTGTACATTGCCAAGTACTTTTTTTTTGTAAATATAAAAACACTAACATTTAGTACACTGATACGAGCTCTTGTAACAGGTTCAAAACATGTTCGTCCATATTATTTTTTAAATCAAAATGTGTTTTTTTAGGTAAATTCATTTCTTACGGGCAGCGCAAGCAAACAGTCGGAGTTCCCATTGAATATAAAAAGACACACACACACACACATATATATAAGGCCAATGAAACGCTTGGTAAATAATAATGATATTCATACATACAGTATGACTTAAAACCTCACAAATGAATTGAAGTAAAAGAAAGGAAATATCTACAGGAAACAATCTGATGACGACTATCATAACAGCTGTGCTACTCAGACTACAAACGGCTTAAACTAATAAAATTAGACTACTGTTTGTTTTTGTTATAGATTTCGCGCAAAGCTACACGAGGGTTATCTGCGCTAGCCATCCCTAATTTAGCAGTGTAAGATTAGAGGGAAGACAGCTAGTCATCACCACCCACCGCCAACTCTTGGACTACTCTTTTAGAAACGAATAGTGGGATTGACCGTAACATTATAACGCCCCCACGGCTGAAAGAGCGTGAAGGGGATTCGAACCCGCGACCCGCAGATTGTGAGTCGAGCGCCCTAACCATCTGGACAATTAAATTAATTATAATGAGCTATAAAGAAATATTACATATATATAATTTCAGCAGAAGGGAATTTCGACGTACAAAATAAATTACTTTATTTCCAGAGCTGTTTGTGACAAAAAAAAAGTTTTCAAATAAAATGTAAAATTATAGCATTGTGTTAATGAGGTATAACATGATTTTTATTCATGGAACAGTAAAAAACAAAAACAAATTATGACTAGAACAAACGACCTTATAACACTTAGTTAATTAAACACTCAACGTTTCGCTTTACAGCTTCTTCCGGAGCGTTCACTAAAACACAAACCGAAACTGACAACTTTGTACAACATTTTGTTGTTATGAGGTCGTTTGTTTTTCTAGTATTAACATGAGTCTTCTAAACATATTAACATATGTCTTCTAAACACCAATATGTGATACAGAAACTAAATATAATAGATATAGTTTGTACTGAAAATACGCCCCCATAGGGGTTCCAGGAAAGTATTGCATCTCTGAAAGTGTACAATGAAAAAAGTAAAAAAAAAGGACGAAATGAAAATATTGCTCACAAAGAGGTTGAAGAGCACGGTAGAATAAACAACAATTTCAGATACAGAAAAATCGAGATTCCATTGTTGAACAATATAGACAGTGACAAGCACACCTGATGGGGAAAAATACGGCCGAGGGTGTCTTTTATAAAAACGCTCGATTCACACTTGTACAATACTCCGCAATATTTAGGAGAAAACAGCTCAAATAGGATGATAAACGAAAGTATCTTTGTATTATCCTGATTAACTGAGGAGGTAAGACAAGAAAAACTCTCATCACAAGGTTATCGAGTGATTGTGAAGTCCAAACAAGCACTGTTGGTCATCCAATGTTCGAGATTAAAAAAGTTATCGAGTGATTTAGAAGTCTAAACAAGCACTGTTGGTCATACAATGTTCGAGATTAAAGAAGTTATCGAGTGATTTAGAAGTCTAAACAAGCACTGTTGGTCATACAATGTTTGAGATTAAAGAAGTTAACGAGTGATTTTGAAGTCCAAACAAGCACTGTTGGTCATCCAATGTTCGAGATTAAAAAAGTTGTCGAGTGATTTTGAAGTCCAAACAAGCACTGTTGATCATCCAATGTTCGAGATTAAAGAAGTTATCGAGTGATTTAGAAGTCTAAACAAGCACTGTTGGTCATACAATGTTTGAGATTAAAGAAGTTAACGAGTGATTTTGAAGTCCAAACAAGCACTGTTGGTCATCCAATGTTCGAGATTAAAAAAGTTATCGAGTGACTTTGAAGTCCAAACAAGCACTGTTGGTCATCCAATGTTCGAGATTAAAGAAGTTAACGAGTGATTTTGAAGTCTAAACAAGCACTGTTGGTCATCCAATGTTCGAGATTAAAGAAGATAACTAGTGACTTTGAAGTCCAAACAAGCACTGTTGGTCATCCAATGTTCGAGATTAAAGAAGATAACTAGTGACTTTGAAGTCTAAACAAGCACTGTTGGTCATCCAATATTCGAGATTAAAGAAGTTATCGAGTGACTTTGAAGTCCAAACAAGCACTGTTGGTCATCCAATGTTCGAGATTAAAGAAGTTAACGAGTGATTTTGAAGTCTAAACAAGCACTGTTGGTCATCCAATATTCGAGATTAAAGAAGTTAT